CAGTGGATACTTGAAACAACAGGATAGTACTGAACCCTACATTTTTTTTAATACATACATACTTTTGCACTCAGAGGAAGCAGTTTATAGCTTCTCTTTGGCATATACAAATTGCCAGCATTGCTACTCTTGCACTTTGGAGTCATTTTAAATAAAATAAGGATGGCCCAGCCGGTATGGCTCAGTGCTTGAGTGTCGACCCATGCACCAAGAGGTCGCTGGTTCGATTCCCAGTCAGGACACATGCCCAGGTTGTGGGCCAAATCCCCGTGGGGGACATGCAGGAGGCGCCCAGTTGGTGTTCTGTCTCATTGATGTTTTTCTCTCTCTCTCCCTCTTCCTTTCTGTCTCTCTAAAATAAATAAAAAGATACATAAATGAAATAAAGATGACTTGAACACAAGCACTGAGATGCTGCAACAGTCGATCTGGCAAGCAAGATGGCCACTAATTGACTAATGGCCAGGTAGCCTGTCCAGCAGGGATACCCTGGGGAAAGAGACGATTCACATCCTGGGAAGAACAGCACAAGATTTCAGCATGGAGTTCAGAACCACATGCAATTTAAAACTTATTCATTGTTTCTCGAATTTTACATTTAATATTTTCGGACCATGGTTGACCATGGGTAACTAAAACCACAAATCAGGGGGAACTAATGTAATTCACAATTATGGTTATTATTACATTAGATATCAAGGATGTTTAGATAAATTACTATAAATTAAAATATATTGATGTTTAGATCATTGTTTTTTATGAATAAATCATTTATGTAATCTTGTTTTATTTTTATTCATTTATTTATTTATTTATTTTATATCCTCACCCGAGGACATTTTTTGATATTTTGTTCAGATAGAATGGGAGGAAGAGGGAGAAAGAGGAACATCAACATGAAAGGGACACATCGAGTGGTTGCCACCCACACGACCCAACCAGGGCCGGGGACAAACTGCAGCCGAGGTACATGCCCTTAGCGGGAACCGAACCTGGGTCTCTCCAGACCGCAGGCCAACGCTCTAACCGCTGAGCCAAACCAGCCAGGGTAATTTTTTAAAAAGATCATTTCATTTTGATGAACTTTTGATAAAGTAGATAACAGTAGGTAAAATGAGTGTGCAAGCCAAAGATTGACATACCACACAAATCTATATTTTTAAAAAATTGAGAATCATTGCTGTAGAAAGTACAGTCATCCCTCAGTGTCCACTGGGATTGATTTCAGAACCTGCACAGATACCGATGTCTGGTGATGCTAAAGTCCCTTATGTAAAATGCTGTATTTGCATATAACCTACACACATTCTCCTGTATACTTTAAGTCATCTGTAGATTATTTAAAATACCTTGTTTAGGGAATAATGACAAGAAAACAAAGTTGGTACATATTTAGTACAGACACAACCACAGGAGTCCTAAGTAGTTGGTAAATGTCAGCAACTGTATAACTTCTTTCCTTAATTTTTTTTTTTTTTTGTATCCTCACCCGAGGACATTTTTCCATTTTTTGTTCAGGTAGAGTGGGAGGGAGAGAGAGGAACAGAGAGAGAGAGAGAAACATCGATGTGAAAGGAACACATCGAGTGGCTGCCACCCGCACAACCGACCAGGGCCGGGGACAAACTGCAACCGAGGTACGCGCCCTTAGCGGGAACCGAACCCGGGTATCTCTGTACCGCAGGCCGACGCTCTAACCGCTGAGCCAAACCGGCAAGTTCCTTAATATTTTGATGCTTGGTTGTTTGAATCCGAGGATATAGAACCCGCAAATATAGAGGTATATGTATAACTTTTTTGTCCAAGCCTCTAATCTTCCTTATCAACAAGTAATTTTCCAAGTAAACATTTTCATTCTTATTTCCTCTTCACTAAGGCTTGTGTTTCAACCCTTAGCTTGTCCTGTGTGAATCACTGACTACTCATTGAAGGATAATTTAGTTTTATGATCTACCCCTGAAAAAAATTTAATACCAGTTTTTAAATATGAATCATTGAGTACTCATTGAAGGTCAGTTTAATTTTATGATCTAACCCTGAAAAGAATTTAATAGCAATTTTTAAATAATTCCAGATAAACAGCATCTGTTTTAGGAAATTTGATCAGAAAAATTTGATTCCTAGTGTTTAGCACAGTAGCATCTTTGTCTTAGTAAGAAAAGGATTGATTGTTTATCAGCTTTGAGTAACAAAAACATCTATGACATACTCAGTACTTTCCACCTTTTTTAAATTAGTAAATTCTATTTTTTTAGAGCTGTTTTAGGTTCGCAGCAACACTGAGCAGGAAGCACTGAGTTCCCATATTTTCCCTGATCCCTGGCCTCCACTCATTCCATCTTCCTGCTATCAACATCCCCACCAGCAGGGTGCTTTTGTTAAAACTGATTTGTTACGGTCTACGTTGACACATCATCACCTATGGCATCATGTTTTAACAGTATAAAATTCTTTCAAAACAATGTAAAATTCTTTCAAAAATAGTATCTGGAGTTGCAGTTTTTGAGTTCAGATATTTTCACTTGTTTGAACACTTAGTGTTCCCAGCTTGAAAATTGTAATAATAGTTCCTACTTCATACAGTTGGTGTGAGATTTCAAATGATATGTAAAGCAAATGCTGAAATGTTTACAATGATGATTATGGCTTAAAATACATACTTATATAAAATATATTAAAACAGATTAATTCTTAATTCATCTTTTTGTTTCTTTTTTTGTGTTCATTTACTTTCATAAGTTAGAAATTGTCATTCAGTCTACAAATTAATTTGCTGTAGGATTTCTTCAATTAGTAAGCTTCTCTAGTGAATTAAAAGATTCATTAGATTGACCAAAATTTAATTTTCATGCGTTTCAGCAAAACACCTGTAATTTGGAGAGGAAGTCATCCATATGGTATTTTATAAACCTGTATTACATTTATATAAAAGCCTTCTGTGAACACATCCTAGAAATCAGTCAAACTTAGCTTTGAATGCCATTAAAACTAGATTCTGATGTTATATTTATAAATTATATATAGTAGATACCAAGACGCTCATCTTAAAAATAAGTGTCTTGTGAAGAAACACTAACTACTCTGGGTGGCTTTCAGGTTTTTTCTCTTTCTAAATGTGGGCAAAATGACCATTTCTTGGGGTGTTAAAATCTGTTTATGAGGTAGTCAATACCTTGATAATATTGCAAAAAACAGTCAAAGTGCTGCCTGTTGGCCTACTAGTAAACTGTCCAACTGTTCTTGCGTTATGTCAATAAATATAATAATGAGTAGGACTAGAGTACTTTAAATAAATGTTCTTATGGATCATAGTTTATGATGTTACTTTTGTGTGATGAAAGATTATGGATGGATGGATAGATAGATAGATAGATAGATAGACAGTAGATAATTTAATTGTACAGAGTAACTAAAGCACGGTAAACCCTTGGTTCTAGTTTATCTGGGATTTTGATGGTAGATTGATCCCTTTTGCATTTTTAGAACTCTGATTTTTTTTTTTCTTTGTTTTAATTCTTTCCAACGTGAATTGCTCACCTTTCAATTCCATCACCTTTTACTTTTCGAACTTAAAAAGTTTGAATTTAGGGCTAATTGTATATACTTATGTGTTTAAGTAATGTATAAAGGTAGATACTGGAGAAAAGGGGACTCTAGTGCACTGCTGGTGGGAATGCAGACTGGTGCAGCCACTATGGAAAACAATATGGTGTTACCTCAAAAAATTAAAACTTGAACTGCCATTTGACCCAGTGATCCTGCTTCTAGGAATATACCCTAAGAAGCCTAAAACACCAATCAGAAAGAATATATGTACCCCCATGTTTGTAGCAGCACTATTTACAACAGATAAGATCTGGAAACAGCCCAAGTGTCCATCAGTAGACAAATGGATAAAAAAGCTGTGGTACATATACACAATGGAGTACTATGCAGCTGTAAGAAAGAAAGATCTCTTATCCTTTGAGACTACATGGAGGGACCTTGAAAGTATCATCCTAAGTGAAACAAGCCAAACAGAGAAAGACAAGTTTCATATGATCTCACTTATTTGTGGAATATAATGAACATAACAGTCTGAGGAATGGGGTAGTCCCAGAGACGTGGAAGTGGGGTACAGACTGACAATCCCCTAAAGAGGGTGGTGGTGGGGGGGAGATAAACCACAGAACTTATATGCATGTATGCATGAACAGTGGACATGGACAACAAACTGGGGGAAAGGGAGGGAGGTGGAGGGGGGATCAGTGGGGGAAAAAGGAGAAACATCTGTAACAAAAATTAATTAATAAAAAAAAAAAAGGCAGATACTGTTCCAGGCTGCCTTGTGTTAATTTTTTGTTGTTGTTGTTCAGATAGAGTGGGAGGGAGGGAGAGAGAGAGAGAAACATCAATGTGAAAGGGACACATCGAGTGGTTGCCACGCACACGACCCAACCAGGGCCTGGGACAAACCGCAACCGAGATATGTGCCCTTAGCAGAAACCAAACCCGGGTCTCTCTGGACCGCAGGCCGACACGCTAACCACTGAGCAAAACTGGCCAGGACTTAGCCAAACCGGCCAGGACTTGTGTTAATTTTTATTCTTGTTTTCTGTGAAGATTTTCTTCAACAGATAGTCATTGGCTCCTGTTAAGTATCAAGCGCTGCTCTGGGCACTGGGGTATAGCAATAAACAAAAACTGCCCTGGGAGGGTTTTACATTCTGATCCCAGTACCGATTGTGGTTCCCATAATGAGTTTGATAAGGCTGAAAATGTAACTTCTTATCTGTGAAACAATTTTATACTTTATAAAATAAAATCTTATCTGTGAAGCATGCTAGTGAAAATAATAGACTACTTTACTTCCTATTCCTTTTCATGTGAATAAGAGAGTAGTGTATTAGAAAATGGCAAATACTTAAACCATAGTTTTTATTATTTTCAAATCTGCCCTTTGTTATCCTTAACAGAATATTTTAATCAGACTTTATTCTTTTGTTTCTAATATTTTCCAGAAGCTGGCAGACCTTTCTCTTCGTATCCAACAAATTGAAACAACTCTCAATATTTTAGATGCAAAGGTTTGTATTTCTGAATAATTTATAATATAAACTTTGCTGTACTCTTATCAACTTTCTCAATTACACTTGCATTTGGGAGTGAATTAAACTTAGCTTCTGCATCCTGAGGTGATACAGTGTTGTTTATTTATGGGGTTTTTTTATTCATTATAATTAAAAAAGGAAAAGATACTCATTATGAACCTGAGTCTATTTAAATGTACACATGGATTGAGATTTCTTTCATTATATTAGTCAAAAACATAATGCGAGTAACATGTTAACAAACTGAGCTATTATATAGTTTGTTTCATTTGATGGAAATGTTTCATTTATCTTAATAGTAATCATTTTATAACACGGTAAAAATTATGTAAAACTTGACGTGTCTTCAGAGTAAAATTTGGAGAAAATATCAGCTATTTTCTATTTGCAAATATGTTAAATACTAATGAAGAATACCCATTTTGATGTCAGACATTACAAAAGGTAACTAGCAAAAATAGAAGGGTGTTTTGATTTGAAAGCTTGCAGATTTTATGTGTGTTTTTTTGTTTATAAAGTAATGGAAACACTAATATATTTTTGTGACTTTGTCCTTTTATCAAAAAGGAACTCTGAAAAAATATTAAATATTTATGAGGAAGTAAAATGACTGATATCTTTAGCGTAAGGATTAGGATGACTGATTTGTTCTTTCTACATCTTTCGATAGACCTCAGCCACTATACTCCTCTCAGAATATTTCTTTAGCTTGGAAAATTTAGGATACCTGGCCTTGAACATGTTCTAGAAATTCTGGCAGCCATACCCACTTGAAACTCTGGGCCCTAGCCATGTGCTAAGTACTGCCATCAGTCAGCAGTTCTCAATGAATAGCACTGCTTCAGATCTTATTACTGTTGGTGTTTTCATTATTCTGTAGTATGATTATGTGTCTTGTTTTAATGTTTGGGGAACTCTTGAGTTAGAGTCCAAGGTCACAAGTTAAGTTACTATGTGGACAAGTCAACCTTACTTATTTCCATGGTCATAGAGTTAATCTCAAAAACTAGCCAAACATCTGACGAATGTGTATCATTGATATGGAGATGAAATCAGAAGAGAGGGTTTGCATGGACCATGCAACTCCAACATTAAATGCTTAACCACTGACAGCACGCCCGTCTTTTGTGCATGAAAAGTAACACATTTCAGTAACATTCAGTGATAAATGTTTAAAGAAAGAGAAAAAGAGTGAGCTGTGTCAGACATTAAAATGTGATGACAAGAGTTTTGTCAGCCCTGGCCAGGTAGGTCAGTTGTTTAGAGCATCGTCTCAATACGCCAAGGTTGTGGCTTTGATCCCCAGTTAGGGCACATACAAGAATAACCAATGAATGCATAAATAAGTGGAACAACTCAACGTTTCTCTCTCTCTCTCTCTCTCTCTCTCTCTCTCTCTCTCTCTCTCTCTCCCTTCCTCCCTCCCTTGCTCTCCTCCTCTTTCCTGTCTTTCTTTAAAATAAAAATAAAAAATTAAAACCACAACAACAGTATGTCTTGGCACCCTTTTAAAAATAAATAAAAATATATCTTTTAAAAATTTGAGTTTTGTCATTCCTCAAATAATTGATACTTAAAATGTGCTACCAAGCACCTTTTTTTTTTTTTTTACAAAGTATATTTAGTAATAATGTTTTTACAACATCTTTGTGAAGTAAAATTTTTTATCCCCATTGTACAGGTGAGAAAATTGAGGCCTAAGGAGATTTTTATACAAGGTCACATGGCTTGTGACATGAACCCAGGCACTTTGACTCCAAAGCCCATGCTCTAATTTCTTACACTAGGATTTCTTATGTTTTCAAAGTAATTCCGGGGGGGGGGGGTGGGGGGGATAGTTATAAGCTAAATTAGATTTGTAAGAAACTGTTCAAAACTATTTTTATTTGTGAATGTCTTTCCCTTTTTAAGTAGTTTATGGCATGGAGAATTTCAAACACCAAAAATGAGATTTTATAAACTTGTTTGTGTAGGCTGAAAAACATGAGATCTATTTAAAACATACACCTGGCCCTGGCAGGTTTGACTTAGTGGTCAGAGATCAGCCCTTGGACCTGTGGCTCGTGGGTTCGATTCTAGTCCAGGGCGCTTACCTGGGTTGCAGGTTAGATCTCCAGCCCCAGTCAGGGTTATGCAGGAGGCATGTGTCTCTCTCACATCAGTGTTCCTCCCTCTCCCCCTTACTCCCACTCCATCTAAAAAAAAAAAAAGTAATGGAAAGATATCCTTGGGTGAGGAATAACCAAAGAAACCAAGCGCACACCTGTAAACAGTGTTTGATACTATCCTTACAAACCAACATTACTTTTCTTTTCTCAGTTGTCGTCTATCCCAGGCCTAGAAGATGTCACGTTTGAAGTGTCTCCTGTCAGTGTCACTAGCACCACCAATGAATCACATTCTGAAGCCACCTCAGAGCGATCACAGGTTAGTGTCTAACTGCCGGGAAACATGAGCAGATCTTCTGGTCGAACCAGATAGACCTAAGCAGCAGATTTGATGGAAGAAGTTAAATAAAAATGCAAAACTTTGCCTAGTAACATTTTGAAGCCTTAAGATAGAAAATGAAGTTTGAAAAAAAAACAACAACAACTCAGCTGTTTTGTTATTTTGAAGGGCTTCCTGAAGTTTATATTTTCTTTAATCTATACAGGACTAGAAAAAAACCTTGCATATAACTATTTTCTTCAAGTTCACTATGAAAATGTTTTTCTAAGTTCATATAAGAAGGGTACTTTTCAAATGTTTTATTATAAAAACTTTAAAACATACACGAAAATAGAATAGTACAATGGATATGCAAAGGCCTGTTACCTGGATTCACCAGTTAAGATTCTGTGGCCATTGCCCTCATCTTATTTTTATGACTTGCTGTAGTGAATCCCAGGCTTCCTGTCATGTCACCCCTGTTTCATTCCTGGAGCATCACTGTAAAGTTCTGTCGCCTTTTTGCATACCCACAATGCCTTCATCATACGCAATATAATTGACAGTAATTCCCTGGTAGTATCTAACCTCTTGTTACTCAGAGTGTGCTCCAGGGACCAGAAGCATCACCTGGGGGCTTGTTAGAAATCTCAGGCTCCACCCAGACTTACCTGAATCAGAACCTACATTATAACAAGATCCCTGGGTGGTTTGTAGGTTCTTGGAATTTGAGAGATACTGACCTAAGAAATATCGACTGTCTACAAAGTGTGTTTTTGGATTTGATTTGTTCAAATCTGCAACCTAGTAAGAGTCACACTTTAGATTTGTTTTTTTGTGCCTTAATGTCCATTTATTTTCTGTATAAGTTTGAATTTCATGTACTTTTTATTTCAATAAATAAAAATTGATTGAGTAATCTCTAGTGCATCTTGGTGAAGTATTAAAATCCAAAATAAAATCATCACTAAAATGGTGGTCTACCAAATAATGCTGAACAAGTAGACTCCCTATCTACTTGGAATTCTGCATTTGTACCTGGAGATACTTTACAGAAGATTTTTTTTTAGATCATTATTGTGTGGACCTTGATAACGACTGACACGCAAAGGGTGCAAACCGTACTTCTAAGTGCTTTCCATAAATTAACTCATTTAATCCTCAAAACAGCCCTACAAATTAAATACTGTATGATTATTTCTACTTTACAGATGTGTCAAGTAAGGTGCACAGTGAATAAGTAACTTGTTAAGGGTCAAACAGTAATTGTAAGAACTGGAATTTTAACCCAGACATCGGGTGCCAAAGCCCTGGCTTGTACCTGCTGAGCTTCCTCCAGCACCTGTGTCAACTTGTTGAACATATTGAGCCCATGTGGTATGAGGCACTGTAAGAGGGGCTGTATACATATATTTAGATACAGTATAGATTTCTAGGATGAATTAGATGACCATTTACTTAATAATTAGATACTAGAAAGTTTAACATTCATTTAATTAATATAGGGAATTCCATTATAATGGCCATTGGAATATATATAATAACGAGAGAAAATGCAGGTGTTTAACTTTACAAGGTTCTTTCAATTAAATATGGACCACCGTTTTTCTAAAACAAAATGTGTAAAAGAAATACTAAGAAAGTGTTTCCCCTCTCCCTAATAGAGTAGATACTAGCAGTCGTATGTTTCTATATATTTTTAAGTGGTATCTGTGTAACTTTGAATATATACTTTTCCAGGTGTTATTATGAATTAATATGTCTTTTAAAACTTATGCAGTTGTATTTGACCTGTCTATTTAAGGTCTCAAAAAAAAATGATTATGAGTAATCACAGCTCAATTTTCTAAAATTTAGAATAGCCTGATATATCTCTGGCAATTCTATTTTAAAATGTACATTAATTTATTTGGAGAATTTATGAAGTTCTCTTGGCTTCCTGAGTTTAAAAAGTGTGGTAAAGTTGTGTATTGGTTAGTTTAATAAAATAACTGTTTATCATGTTCTCAATATTCAAATCAACTGATTTCTTCTCCATTGTTATTTGGTATATTTTGGTAAAATATTTTGAATTGGAGTTAAGTATTACTTAATAAAGAAGTTCATCAGCATTACAGTCAACTCACTTATCAGATAAAGGATGATCATGCACTTTTTCTTAATCATCCATTCCTTGCAATCTCAATGTATGAGTCAAAGATCCAAGGTTTGCATACTGATTTTTCTGCAACTTTAATTTCATGGTTCAGATTTCACCATTACTCACGATAGGACATCCAGTTGTGCAGACTGAGAATAAAATGAAGGACAGTTGAGAGATATGATAGGGAATTTGTTGGGTCATTCAAATAGCAAAGGTGTAAGACCTGACATAATTAAACCTTGTTGAGGTCTTGATTATTAGGCAAAAATTAACGGCTAAGTTTTGAGATCCAGAGGGCCTGTATGTAATTACCATTTAGTCTGTTGTACTATCGTATGAGTTTATTATTAGTAATTTTTACAAAACATACTTGGGTCTTGTTTGAATTTTTTATTTAATTAAATGTTTTGGACTTTTGTATTTATTTATTTTACAGGTAAATAGTACACACACACACACACACACACACACACACTCCTAATGGTGTCATATAACAGTAGAAACCTGAAGGATTTTTGAGGTTTTTTTTGCTTCAGAGTTTTTGACAGATTAAATTTATATTTGAATTAGAGGAAAAACCTTAATATATAATTCACATTCATATTTTTTAAGCTACGACTATTTAAAGACATTTCTTGATTTGTCTACATACAGCATAGATATGTAGACATAAAATTGATTTCATCTTGTTAAAGAAATTTCTTTTACTGCTAATATACAGATAATGAGTGAGAATTCACAAAAGTAAACGTATTCTAAATATTCAGGTTGGTAGAAAAATCAAGAACTATGTAGAAACAGTCCTAGCTTTGCACTGCAGTGAGGGCAGGGTGGAGCATGGACTCCGGACTGTGGGAACGGCTGCATGATAAAAGCATTTTCTCTAAAAGATCATTCCCCAGTGTTCTTCACTGTAAGTAGTATTTATTATTTCATCTTACCCACTTAATGGAGAATGTTACCATTAATAGTTCCATCAGTAGCTGCACTATACAAAACCAGATCATTTTGACTGAAAAGTGGGATTTTCCTCCATAAATTCTCTAAGCATTGCTTTCTGATCGGTTAGAATAACCATATCCACTTAGAAAAAGATTACTTAGTAAATGAGGAGTCCATCTGTTTAGATGTAGATACCTAGAAAATCAGCTCATTGCCCATTACAGTTGAACAATAGACAAATCAAACTAGTTTTATTAAGCTTTGTTAGAAGTTTTATTAAAATAATATGTTCACCTATAATTCATCATTTTTATCAGCACCCTGGGGACAAGTCAAACAAATCTAATATTTTTTAATTTCATAAATATATTTGCATTTTTAAGGAACAATATAGTGTTATTAAGTGTAGCTTCCTCTGAAATCATATTTAAATATTTGTAAATATTTGGAAGCATATATCTTATAATTAAATTATTGGTAATTAAATTTAGAAATATGATTTTTTTTCTGATATTGATTGCTTTAGAACTATACAAAGAAACATCCCTTTTAAGTAACATGATAGACCCCTTTTGTGAATTGTCTAAAGATTTACACGCAATACTCTCTACAGCAGAACAGTTTACAAGACTCTGGACCACAGGAAAGTGAAGTAGCAGCAGAAAATATCTTAACTGTAGCCAAGGATCCAAGATATGCCAGATATCTCAAAATGGTTCAAGTGGTAAGCTGATTTGGTCTGTCTTCTCTGTCTAGCAGCCTCATTTGAAATTCTTGATCCTGGAGGTTTCATTGTTATTTTTCAACCTGAACAACTGCTAAACCGAGTGACCAAGTTTTCTACTCTCTTACTTATTTCTTTCCTATGTTCAGTTAATGCCCTGAAAATAGTAGCCAAAAGTCAAATCTTTCTCATTAAAATTAATCTCACACTTCAGACTAACAGTTTAATACAAATTTATATACTTTCTTTGCTTTACACAAAGTTGCCATTGCAAATCTTGGATGTATCAATAGAGGAATGAAAGTGGACTATTCATAGAGCTTTGGCTTAATTCCCGTATGCTAGCACAAATACTTTTTTTGTAAATTTTTATTCTGAACTTTACTTGTCAATAGTTTGGTTCGCCCTGGCCGGTTTGGCTCAGCGGTTGGAGCGTCGGCCTGCGGTCCAGAGAGACCCGGGTTTGGTTCCCGCTAGGGGCACGTACTTCGGTTGCAGTTTGTCCCCGGCCCTGGTTGGTCGTGCAGGTGGCAGCCACTCGATGTGTCCCTTCACGTCGATGTTTCTCTCTCTCTCTCTCCTTCCTCTCTCTCCCTCCCACTCTATCTGTACAAAAAATGGAAAAATATCCTCGGGTGAGGATAAAAAAATATTAAAAAAAAAAATAGTTTGGTTCATAGAAAAGAACATAAATCTCTTGTCCATGTAAGGTAAGGCTTTTAATTTATTATAGGATTTTAGAATTTATATTTTTTCTAGGAAATCATTACATGGTATGGTACCAGAAACATCTGCTGTTGTCTATAACAGTAGGAGGTACTTTCTTTTTATTCCTGAAGAAAGTCCTGTTGCAGTTGAAGGAGCTAGCTGTCCATCATTTCTCTGTTAGTTAAAAAAGTAATGTTTTTGTACCATTCCATTATTAGGCAAAGGAAATACTAAAGAAAAACAGTTTTATTTTACTGTTCATGCATTTTTTTAATCACCAAAAGAATTGAAAACCAGTAGTATCTGACAACCAGAAAGAGTGGATTGGCTCATGGAGAAGCTGCAGCGGTGATGGGGGAGGAGAAAGGACCTTTCAGAAGCCACGCGTTTGTCACTTTCAGAATTCTTTGCTGACAGTCAGAACCCTGGGCTCTCTAGTCTGTAGGAAAAACTGAACCAGGCTTTGGGATGAAATATATAAAGTTCTCTTGTTGAAGAATGAAGTAGAGCTGTTTTGATATGAACCATAATAAATTCGTTTTTAAAGCTAGAACTCAGGAAAGCTTAAGCTAAGCTTAAAATATGGTCTGTTAAAAACTGACTCTTTCAAACAAAAGAGGAAAGAACGGTTTCAGAGTGACTCTAAAGTATGAAATAGGAAAATCTGCTTGATGGTTTCTGTAAGAATGCCCTGACATCTTTGATAAAAGACTGTCTTAGGATAGCTATCCTTGTATTCTTGATGCATTTTACCCCTGATTTTATGAGAACTTTAAAAACTCGTATTTTCTTTTTCTGTATAAAACCTCTGTCCATTTGTTCCACAAATATTTATTGAACACTTACTTAAGGTACTATTTTAGGTATTTCCCAGATTTATTTAGGCAGCTAAGGTTTCCAGACACCAGTTGAAATTATTTTTGTTATTCATTCTTTAGACCAATTCCATTACATTTCAGAATTATATATTATCACATGTGTGTGTACATGTGTATATTTAGATGACCCTTTAAATATTCATTTTTCTACTCATGCGGCTTCCTACCTCACTAGAAGTAAAAGCCAAAGTCCTTCCCAGGCCCATGAGATCCTATGCAACTTAGCTCTCCCATTACCCTTTGATCTCTTATCTCTGTTCGCCCTGCTCCAGCTACTGGCCCCCTTGATGTCCCTTGGATAACTATATGGACAGTCTCCTCTCTGAGGCCTTTGCATCAGCTATTCTCGCTGCCTCAAACATTGTTCTCCCGGGTATCTTCATGGTGTACTCCTTCGCTTCCTTCAAACCTTTGCTCGTATATTACCTTCTCACTGGCCGCATTCCTTTTACACCTGACCTGCTATATTTTTCTTCATATAACCTTCTACTATTATTTAAAATACTCCACATCGTACATACTGTGGCTGTGCATCTCCCGCTACTAGAACACAGGCTCCCTGAGGGTAGGGGATCATCTGGGGTGACGCACGATTCCCAGTTCCGAGGACAACCTGGCGCGTAGTATTTACCAGTGAATGAAGAGGCCTGCATTTTTCTCCAGGCCATTTTACCTTTTGATGGGTTTTGGAGATAGATTTCTTTTTCACACTGCCTCAGCAGTTTTTAGACTGACAAATTCTGGTTCCTACCCTGCTGAATTAAAGTCTCTGAAGCTGGGACTTCAAGCTATAGCATATGTATTTCCAAAAAAAAAAAAAAAAAAAAAGCCTTCTGATTAAGAGCTATTTAAAAATATTTCAACCTATATTATAACATTGTTCAAAGAAGTTTTATTTAGGAACATTTAAGAAAGAATAAATTATTATTAATTTTATTTTATTTTTAATTCTGTGAAAGTACTTCAGTTTCAGCCCATTTTTTTGCTTGGTGTCACTGAGTGTGAGCAGGGGCTTAGTTTCTTCTGCCTCGACCTGTCCTGTTTTTATCCCAGTGTTCCTGATTTCATCCTTGGCCTGCCCTCTGCCTTTGGTGCGGGTATTTCTAATCCCTCAACGTTTCCAGGTTCTGGAAGTCGACTTGGCTGTCTGTGCTCAGTCATCAATCATTCTTTTATCTGCTTTTAATTTCCATGTTATTGTGGTTCATATATGCCTCTGAGTCATTAAAGTTGGAGTTTGGGCCTTACTGTTTGGGGGTAATTTTCAAGCAGAAAGAGGGAGCAACATCTTTACACTGCCATCCTAAAATTGCAAGTTCATCCAAGTGAAATTTAATTTTATTGTTTTCAGTTTATTGTGCCAGCCTGGATCCCAGAATCTTATTACCCAACTGTTGTTTCCTACGACTCCCTGTCCTGAATTCCATTCTTCATACCAAACCACAAATCCTTCCCGATGTGAGCTCCATGCTTTTCCACCTCTGAATCTAGATTCCCCTTAATTACTACATGCCCAGATTCTATTCCCCTAACCTGTTCCCATGAACACTTCCACCAAATCATCCCAGATTCTGAACCCACCAACACATAAACCTTAAGTAATGTCTCCCACTATTGATCAGTCTAACTATGCTACCTATATATTTTTTGAAACTTCTCACTTCATACCTGTTCAGTGATTATTTACTCATATTTTGTCTTTCCTGTTGAAAAAGGAAATCACGAGAGGAAGAATTGTGTCTTGATTCATCTTTGTATTCACTTGAACACCTTGCCCATAAAGGTGCTCAATCAATATTTATGGAATGAACTACTTTATCCTGCATATTAACTCTTCTTTCTAGCTTTGTGTCACCTGGAAGTGTATAGAAGTGCTCCCATTTCTTCAAGTTATTGATCTAAAATGTAGAACCAAACCAAGACTAGACCAAGCAGTGGGCTCCTTGTGAATGGCTGATGTGAATCTACCAGTCATTACTCTACTTGAGCCATCTATAAGTCCACCGTGTCTCCTGCTTCCTAAGTGTACCATGAGTGACTGCAGATGTCCAGCTGCAGGTGCAGGCTACGTGTCTGACAATGTCCTTGATTGTTTTTCCTGCACATGGTCACTACCAGAGCTCCTGTCACTTCTGCATAATCATTCAGTTCTGTCTCTTTGTTCAAATATGAGTAAGAAATAGTTAAATCATTTTCCCTCAGTGTTTCCTTTGTCTGTTGAAGGATAAAATTTTTAGCATGTAGGAGTTTATCAGATGCTCTGATTTGGGCAAAATTAAGCTACCATTATATCATGTCTGTATCTTATCCTAGTGCTTATTTACAGCGTGTTTCAGAAAACCTTATCTAACGCCTGCATCTGGTCAGATGGCCAAAAAGAATGCTCCATCTGATAATACAACTATTGCCTTTTTAATTCACTTAGGAGTTCCTTTAATCCTGTGTTTAAGAATTTTCATATATCTGGATATGTATTGATTTGTAGGTAATCTTTCTCCTTCCATTTGTCTTTCAAATGCCAGTTCCTGTTTATTAATTTCATCCCACTAAGTGTTAATGGTCTCTGATATTTACCTATTTTGAAATTTCATGTCTTCTTTGTACAAATACATGCACACACACACACACGCGCGCGCACGTTCTATCACTCTCTCTTATTTTAGGCTACTGGACTTGTTTTCTATTTCTTTATACCACTCCTCTTAATAATTACCTGCTAGTTCTTCCACTGATTTTTTTCCTCCTGTCATTAATTGAGGATTTTAAAAATTATTTCTTTATTGGGATAACATTGGTTAATAACATTATATAAACTTCAAGTAAACAGCATTATTATTCAGTATCTATACTCTATTGCACGCTCATCCCTAAAGTCTAGTTTCCATCTGTTACCAAATATTCTTTGCTCTCCCCCTACACCCCTTGCCTCTGGGAGTCACCTTTCTATTGTCTGTATCTATGACTTTATTTTTATTATGTTAGTTCATGTTACTTTTTTGTTTTATATTTCACATCTAAGTGGAATCATATGGTTTTTGTACTTTTCCATTTGACTTATTTCACTTAGCTTAATACCCTCAAGATCATGCCATCTTGTCACAAATGGCAGTTTTCCCTTTTTTATGATGGGGTAGTATTCCATTGTATATGTACCTCATCTTTATCCACTTATCCATTTATAGACACTTAGCTTGATGTCATATATTGGCCATTATAAATAATGCTGCAGTGAACATAGGGGTACATATATATTTTAGAATTAATGTGCTTATAGTCTTTTATATTAACTATCCAGAAAAGGAATTGCTGGATCATATGGTAGTTTTATTCTTAATTTTTTTGAGGACCCTCCATACTGTTTTTCATAGTGGCTGCACCAGTTTACAATCCTTCCAACAGTGTATGAGGGTTCCC